GAATGCGTTTTAAATTTCAAGTTTGGCTCGTTTTGTCCGGTTAATTTAAATCAACACTGTATTTAAAGTTTGATTCAAATTGTTAAAACAAAAAAAGCTCATACAAGAAGTTTTGATTTAAGACCACCTGACATTAAAATCTGATTGCAATTAGTAACATCAAGAATTGTCACAAATTTAGTTTGCAACCGAGAAGAGAATCTCCTTTTTGATAGGGTAAAATTTTTCATTTAACTCAAAATGTCTAATATCAAAATTCAAAATTTTATTTCAACTCAAACTCAACCCTTATTATCTTTTCAAAGATCTTTTAAGCGCAAGTGATGTTTTTAGCTCAGAACATCATTGCCTTGAAAACGCAAAGGATAACTCAACTCAAACATTCTCATTCAAATTGAAATTTCATAGCCTTTAATTTCTTTCAACCACACAAACTTTTCAACTTCACAATATGTGACTTTCTAGACTAAATTACTGGACGGTAGCCGCTCAAACTGCTCTCCTTCCCTCAATTCTGGTTGACTAAGTTTTTTTAAAGGATTCAATCTTTGGTATTAATTCACGAGATCCAATTTTGCAAACGAGATCCATTTTTAGCCACATCAATTCAGTGAATGTACAGCTGGAATCTTTTCAATGCAGTGAATCTACAGCTAGAATCAATAATTGAAACTACAGCTAGAAGAACAGGTCTGCGTTTTTTTGAGTTAAAAGACTTTTCCGTATAATTTCAAAATGTAATTACTTCAGCAAATGGAGCAACGAAAAATACCCCCGGCCTTCATAGTGAAATTTTTTTTACTTTGGTGACAAAAATGAGATATACGAAACAAAAAATCATGGCTTGCACAAAAATTGAGCCTAGTCAACTGAAAGCCAATATTTTTGAAGGAAAGACTGCCTTGGTATCAAAAAGAAATACTTGATCATGCGAAAAAAATGGCCTCATAACTCTAATCACCAATTACCAGGCTTAAGTTTTTCCAAAAACGAATGAGAGTAGATTCCAAAGTCATGTAGTGAAATCGATAAAAGCTGTTAAAGATATAAAAAAGCTCTTAAATCTGTGCAAAAAGTATCTAACCATGAACAGACGCCTCGAATGAATGCAAATGACAATTTTTCTTTGAAAAGAAACCGAACCTCACCTGGAGATGAAGCGCTGAAAAGTACAAAAAGTTTGTCAAGATTGCAATAGTGTAGACAAAGGAAATGGAAAAGTTTTGCGGTCAAAGTTCCGATTAAAGGAGTAGTAACACAAATTAGCAAAAATAGCTATATAGCATTTACTAACAGTAAATATTTAACTATGACTGCAAAACGGATAAAACTCACAGGAACTCTTTTTTTGTTTATTTGTTAAAATTGATTGAAGAGCATCAATTGGGTCAGTTGGCGAAGCAAACAACACTTTTTCTTAATATAAAATCCGAGATCCGTACGTTACCATCATGACCAGCTGTGTTGCCTTATAAAAAGTTTTAATTCTATGCCCATTTTTATAGGTTTATGTGAAACTTGGCTAACAGTCAATGATCCTTTGGGCAGTTATCAAAATGAAGGCTATAAGCCTATTCTGTCTAAACCAAGAAAGACTGAAAACTGGGGGCTCTGGCATTTTACGTGAGGGAAGATTTTTCAGGCAAAGAGTACATGCTAATAAAATATGATTTGTTAGAAAATTTTTAATTGAATTGAAATGAGGAGATTTTAACGTATCATTTGATGTATAAACCTCCATGTGCAAAAACCTTTAAATTTAAGCAAATGTTTTAGGAGTTGATTGAAAAAAATAGTGATAAAACAACGAGATACTGATTTGTGGTGATTTCAATTTTGAAATATCTAAGGAGAGCTCAGAACAAAAGAAGTATCAAGAAATTATCGATATGTATGGTTTGCAAATGAACATTTTTGAGCCAACTAGAGTAACATTTAACTCATCTACATGCATTGATTATTCTCAAAGCATTTGTTTTTACGATGTTAAGACCTTGCAACGCAAATTAAGCGATCATTATGCCCTCCTTAGTTTACTAAATAGCTCCGATCGATCGCCAACCAAACTAAATACACTCCGGGAACGGAAACAAATTTTTCTTTCCTTAGAAACTGATATATAATATAATGCTGAATTTTTTTGTTTCTTCTACACCAATTTCTGATTAGAATTGAAGCGAATTGTTAAATAGACAAAAAAACTGGATTATAAAACACAAAGTATCACTTGCGCCTTAAATCGTTTTGCTCCTTTTCAATCAACCAAAAAATCTACAAATGTTGGATTATAAAAGATTGCTGAAAACAAAGCTATGAGAACAATAAAAATTTTAAAAATTGGATCGAAAATCCTAGTCGGGAAAACTGAGAAAAATATTGAAAACAACGAAACATTTGCGACAAAACATTACGCAACGCCAAAATTGAGTTTTATGACAGAAGTATAACTAGTCTAAGTAATTTAGGGTAGAACGAAAAATTTTCCGCAAACTACGTTAACTGCAAAAAGTTTCACTTAAAATTTTTAAGTATCGGAAAAAATTGGCTAAGAAATGTTCGCTAAGCAAAATAGTTAAGCCATTTAGGATGAGCAACACTTTTGTTTTTTCTCCAATAGCAACAGAAGAAAGAACTGATGTAATTAGAAAATTGAAAAATCAAAAGTACTGGTCATGATGGAATAACTAAAAACAAAAAGCTTCGTCAGTTGTTAGTCAACCACTGAGTGATCTTTTGACCAATGTTTTGATGAAGGATAATATCCTTCCGATTTAAAGAATGCCCGAGTTGTTCCAGTATACAAAGAGGGCTCTGTTAATTTTGAAGACCCATTGTTAACAGAGCCATCAATGAACAAAGATGGCGCTGTTAATTGTGATTACAGACCCATTAGTTTATTAACGTCAATTGATAAAATTTCTTAAAAGATTATCTTCTACAGAACGATGAGTTTTTTATACAAAAGCAAGATCTTTTGGGGTAACCAATTTGATTTTCGATTAAAATATTCCGGCGCTCAGGCACTACTTGAACTCACAGAAACTTTACGGAAAGACTATGATAAGAAACACACAACACAAGCTTGCTTTGTAGATCTTAGCAAAGCTTTTGATACAATAAATCATGAAAAATTGATTCAAAAACTCGAGATAAACGGCTTTCGAGGAAAAATTTTAGACCTAATGAAAAGTTATTTACCCATTAGATATTTCAATATGAAGATTAAAATAATTGTAGGTCAGAACAAAAAATTCGTTTGAATATGGTGTTCCACAGGGATCAGTCTTGGGACCCATGATGTTTCTAATATACAAAAAGCAATTTAGTCTCTTTTGGTAATAATCAACTATCAGAAATTAGTTATGGAAGGTAAACAATTCGAAATTCTTTGAAACCAAATACTTTGGATTAATAATTGATATTGAACTCAAATTTAAAAGCCAAATTATATAAGAATTGGCGTCAGTTCAACGGTTTATTGTACAAAACCAGCACCAAACCAACTTTTTTTTTAGCACCAAGCAATTCTTGATGTTTTATAACGCTTATATAGACAAATTAAATAGAAATTGGCGTCAGTTCATAGGCTTACTGTACAAACCAGAACCAGACCAACTTTTTTTAGCTTAAACAATTCGTGATGATTTAAAACGCTTATGCTAAATCAAAATCGAGTATGGTAACCTAACTTACGGTAGTGCATCAAAAACAGAATTGCAGTCAATAAAGTTTTTGCTGAAACGATTTGTAAGAACATTTTTTGGAAAAACTATTGTGACTCAGCGCAAATATTAGCGATCATGCACAAAATTCACTCAGTTCATGAACTGTACACTGTATATCTTTTTAAAGAAGCATTTTTTCAATTGAGGAACATTTCACTTAAACTGTTGAACTTAAACGATGTTTCTTATGTAAAAACAACAAGGAAGCCCGCAGCGAACCTCTTACCAATAGTACGACAAAAACAGAAATCAAGAGAAATTCGCTCATACTACGAATAACGCAAATTTAAAATTTTTTTAAGATCACAGTTTGAAAATTTTTTCAATAAATTTAATTAAATTTTTGACAATCGTCAAAGCTTTTTTAAATAGATATCACCGCAATTTCCAAGATGCTCTTCAATGTTTTTTCTGGGCACACCGACCATGAGTTGAACAACTCTTCAGGTGTGCCCTTCCAGGCAGTTGGCTGTTTTTTTTATGATCATGCAACAACTGCAAACTTCCAAAACAAATTTTGTACCACGTGGTCCATTAATTAACCGATGTCTATGATCACTTTTTGGTTTAAGAAGCAAATTCAACAAAGGTTGAACGCCTAATAACACTTCCAATACCGACAGGCTGTTTAAATTCCTAAGGGTTCATACAACACTTTCACCGTGAGTTCAACTCTTTCAATCAAGACACAAATGATGGTCGCAACTAGAAATTGACGACATCATGGCTATTGCGTCGAAAAAAACGTTCAACAAAAATCTCAATTTGGAAAACGTCTCAGCTCATCTCGCGAACAAAATCAGATTTTCTGTAGAAACAAGTTTGGTAAGTTTTACCACTAATTACATGAAAAGATGAAAAAAATTCTTAGCTGATGAGCGATTTGTTCATATATAATCCAGCAGACAACGCGCGTTTAACAACATGGCACTAACGTACCAAAAACCGACTCATCTGCTTCAAAACAAAAACCAATTGTGATTTTGAAAGGATGGTTAAGGCTTTTTCACGTAAATGGCATTTAGTTTAATGAAAGTTACAAAAATGCAATTCTAGTACAATTTTTAAGAGTTGTTGAAAAGCACTGCTTTAGAAAAGTACAGACAAATTTCATTACACTTGGCAACCGATATTATGATAACTGGGGCTTCAGAAGATGATCTCTCCTCAATTCCAACCATCGACGAAGTGTTCCTGGAACAGAAGTTCTCGACTCACGACAAGTTGTTGATGATAACTTTGGGATCTCTGGCTTCGACTTATTGTGCCATCTGAATGATATCACCCGCCTTCTACCGGCTCAGAGTGCCCTATACTTGTCGTGACCAGGATGAAAACATGTCGCCAGATTCGACTGAAAAAGTGCAAACATCACTGGACCAACCGGTAAAATTACTTTTTGCAAAAAATTGTTTATGTCGACTTTTTTTTAGGTCTACCAATTGATTTTCCGAGCTCTCTCAATGTACTAAAATGACCCTGGATTGAACAAACTTTTGCGCTGCAGGCAAATTTTTGAAAAACAGACCAAAAAAACCGTTTTTAGGCACTTTCAAAAAATTTTGAACAAAAAATTGCGTTTTTTCGAAGTGCGCCCCCCCTCCCTCAAAGTTAGTATATACTGGCGCCAAAGGCGCCTTTAAAAAACTTTTGGGGTCCGTCAGCCAAAAATGGATAGCTCAAAATAGTTCAAAGGGGGACCCTTTGGGTCGTTAGGGGGTCGAATCCCTGAAGGAGGGGGCGCCCGCAACTAACTGGGTGTTTTGGTTGGAATTGCCTTCTGTCTTGCCTAATAATAAATCTTCAGATATATCAACATTTTTCCAAGAAGAAAAAAAAACAACGAAAATTTTTTAAAAACTTTTGTAGGAGAATAGTTTTTTGCGCTGTGATTTTTGTGTACTACGTGCGTTCCTTTTTTTGTATGTGAAAACATGATGCTTAAAAGTGGACAAGAATAACTGTGAGTTTTTATTCTGCTTGAGACTTGAGGAGCTTTTAGAAATAAACTTTGACTATCAAAGATAAATCAAAACTAATTCACCTTAACTTAATTAAACAATTAAGTCAGCCGAAAATGGCCACATGTTCGAATTTAGGCCACATTTGACAACAGTGACACTTGTTCGGACAAGGATTTCAACTACTCAGCAATAGACGGAAAAACTTCAATCCACCAATCATTCGACCTAGTTTGTGAAGACGAAATCTACCTGATGTTCCATGGCGGCGCGTACTTTCTCCGAATGTGCTTCGGATCCGTTCTCGGCGGCTACCTCAGCGACAAAATGGGAAGGAAGAAGTTTTTTCAACTTTCTTGTATCTTTGGGCTAACTTTGTCAACCTGGATAGCTTTCAGTGAGTCTTTTATTGTCCATTTGATCTGCTTCTGTGCTGTCAGCGCTTTCGAAATAGGCTCATTCATCTCAATGTTCGCCCTACTTGTCGAAGCCGGATCAGCCAACACCCGGTTTGCAGCATCTTTACTTTGTCGTCTATCTTTCACAGTTGGCGTTCCCCTATGCGCGCCTCTGGCACTGATTTTTGAAAACTGGCGACATCTAGTTCTGGCAATCTCGTGTCTCATCTTTCTCGGGCTGTTTACTTCTCTGTTTACAGACGAAAGCCCGCGTTGGTTATGGGCCGAAGGAAGATACGACCTATCGACTCAAAAACGAATCTGTTCCACTCGAAACCGATAAAAAGTTTTCACGGCTCTTACTTTGAAAGGAAATGGCGCGAAAAAGGCCTTATTCCATTTATTACTAGATACTAGAGACTTTAAAAACGTTTTTGGGTTACCGGGGTTCGAAAGCGCAGAAAACAATGAGAAAAAAATCGAAAAAGAGAATCCACAAAACTCCACTAAGCCAATGGACACATCCGACACTTGGAAACATCAGACACTTTGCGTACGATTGGTTATTTTAACTCTTCATTGGATCTGTGTAAATTCTTTAAATTATGGGTTGACTTTCGGGGCCGAAATGCCTGAGCAAAATATCTATATTTTCGTGGTCACTCTAGGGCTATCCGGGTTGGTAGGAAACATTTCTGGTTTTATCCTTTTAAAACATTTCGGCCTAAAAACAATCGCGGTGACAGCTCTCGCCTTTTCGGCTTCTTGTTACCTAGCTTGCGCCTTTATCCCGCTGTCAAACAAGGCAATTATCTTGGCCATAACCTTTTCGGCCAGAGCAGCTTTGGAATTGTTCTTTATTCTATGTTACCTCTGGACTACTGTAATCCTACTGTAATCCGAACTTCGAATATGAAGTGAACTATGAAGCTTTATCTCATACATAAAATTCACTAATAGTGATTACTTGTTGGATTTTTTCCCTCATCCAACTGATTTTATTATGTTAGAAATCCTTGGATATTGTATTTAGAACAAAAACCCAAAAAGTTCAGCAAAACGCGAAAAAGTTTTTTTTGAGGAAAAATTGCTGGCTTCACAATTTTCATGTTTGGAAAGTTGTTTATCATAAAAGTTTCATATTATTTTCTGTACGCCTGGAAATATGTGGAACTGCATAAGAATTTTTTTTCATATATAGGAACTTTCAAATTTCAGTCAAACCAGGGAACCTAAGCGTTGCTTTATGCGTTCCCTAAGATGCTAAGTGCGTTTTTTATCAAAGGTTTTAATGGAAATTTTCTTTGCAATTTTTGTACAGCCACTGGAAATACTATGGGAGCTTCAATTACAACAGAAGAGAACGTAAATTCCTAGTACAGCGTTATATCAGAGATCAACGGCTAGTTTTTTTTGACAATAATTTGGTTGGTAACCATCTGTGCTACATTAGTGCAGAAACCGGCAAAACTTGGTATTGTCAACTAAATCAAAGGGAGCATAATGATGCATTAGCTAAGATTTCAATTTCTTGTTCTTTAACAAAACTTCTTCTTTTCAACAATATTTGTGGTGGAATATATTTCGTGCTGTTTTTTGTACAGCAGCAAGTAATATAGTGCTGATTTAAATTTACCCGGATAAAACGCCCGAAACTTGAAAATTGAAACTTGTTTTTCTCAAATTGGGTTCAATTTAGATGAAATAAAATGAGGACCAAAATAGCTTCGAAATTTCAGCAGAATTAATTTAGTCAAAACGTTTTGGAAATTCGGGCAATAATTTAACCCCAAAAACGGATGATTTTTAGTTGATCACTGCAATTATTGAAAAAATCAACGAGCCTCCTTTTTAGCTCGTCAAAGTTTATGAGGGGTATGATCTCAAAAACAATGCACAAATTGTTGAAAATTATTTTTAAATAAAAAAATGGGTGTTTTATATAGTAAAAATGACATTTTTTTTTGTAAAATACAAAAACAATTTAGTTTTTGCAATGTTTTTGTTAACTTTTTTGAGCTAAACAAAAAGATGATTTTGATATAATTTTGTCAGTAATTGACTCGGCGGTAGTTTCGGCGTAATTTTTGATTAACTAAAAAATCATGATCCGTTTTTGGGGTAAAACTTTGGGCCCTTATTTTGCAAATCAAACTGCAACATATTATATCTGCTAAAACTCTATGAAAGATTTGTATTCTTCTTTTTTTTACGTGAATCAACCCAGTTTGAGAAAAACGCGTTCTAAATTTCATATGTTATGCGTTTGTTCCGGATAATTTATATCAGCAATGTACTTTGAGTGTCAATTAAGTCAGAAGTGAACACAATTACTTGTTTATACTTAAGCTAAGATGTCAATAGTTAGTTTTTTAAAGCATATTCACCAAAAACAAAAATATTTGCTTCTGATTTGTTTTTTCATTTTGTTAGCACAAAAAAAATGCAGTGGGATCGCGAAATTTAAGTTCAATACTTTGATTTGGAGTCTTAACAGAAATTTGGATCCTCAATCCCATTATTATAATATTGATGTGATTCGTTCTTGAGATTAAATAGTTGAAGGTTTTAGCCTTCTAAGTAGAAAAAAACTTGATGAGATTAAACTTAGAATATAAAAATTAGTTCAAATCACATGGTGACCAGACCAGACCGGTAAACCAGACAGGAGTCTAGATAAAAATAGAAGATAGATTTTTGGGTGGCTTATAGTTGACAATGGCTAACTTTTCTGAAGATTATCGCGTTCAAATATCGCACAATAACAGAAACTACAATTCTTATTATTTGAAGTTTAATTACAACCAACTATATATGCTAAAAGTTATGAGAAATTTGAGTAGTTGACCTTGAAAACGTATCTCGCTCTCCTCTATCCAAGGAACCCGCGGCCTTCACCGTCACAAGATAGAGAGAATACTCTTCGCAACCTTCGAATTTTTCCTGACACAAAACTGTGCTTTTGTTCACCATACAGAGCAAAGTCAGTCCCAATTTGCCAGCATCATATTGACCCAAAACGTCGTTATTAAACGGGCGCACGTTTTGCCCGCTGAGCGAATCATTGCCAGTCGAGTTCATCAGGCTTTTGAAATCGTGAATCCGCACAAATCGCTCGGTGCTACAAAGCGAACGCGAAATCGCGTACTCCGAATTTGACACTTTCAGAATCAAAACAGGCGAATCGCTTTCATCTATAGTTTTCAAAACCGGCTCGCTGTTCAGGTAGCTTTTCTGCTTGAAGAACTTCGACTTAATGAGCTGCGTATGTTCGCTCCATCTCATGCATATTAGCTGTTTCTCCACGAAGTTCTGAAGCAAGAGGTAATCTCCAGAAAACATCATCGAGAACCAGTTTGCAGGTTTGTCCAGATCCAGTTTAATTGTTTCTTTGAACTTTTCAAACTCAAATACATAAAGAATATCGGACGAACAAGGTCGCACAATTAGGATTCGAGAGTTTCCAGCTAACTGCCACCCCCTAACGCCAACATTTTGAGGGATTGGATGGCTGTTTAATGTTCTCAACACGTGAAAACTATGCTTGTTCAAAACAACAACATTACATTTGAAATCTTCGGTCATAGTCGCGCCGTAAAGAGTGTTACTTGACACAGCTATGTCGTGTAAAATAGCGTTTTCAGCTGTTTTTGACCAGAAAGTGTTGCTTTTTACGTCTTTTTTCAGACATAGACTCTTCGAAATAAATCCGGCTTCGACTGCTTTCAGAGTGTAAATAATTCCGAACCAACTTAGGCAGAAGAACGTATTGGTGGCATCGACTACAACTCGTAAAAGGGGCTTTGGTCCTTCAATTTTGACAGGAGTCGAAGCTTTGACAGCAAGGGAACAAAGTCGAACTCCAGTTGAAATGTCATACAAAGACTGGTTGGTATCTATGAAAAAGGATCTTTTCAAACTTTCCGCTAGTTTTCATATTTACATAATTTTTTCCCAGGGTCGAATTTGAGAGGTTGAGGCGTGCGAGTCAAACGCCAGCCATGCTTAACAATTTAACGACCCAAAACTTTTTCTAACGGCGCCTTAAGCGCCAACATACAAAAAACTTGAGACAAAACGCTGACATTTTTCTTTAAAATCTTCCTAAAAAGCTTCAAAGTTTTTTTTCAAAAAACCCGCAAGACCTCGGAAAACCTCAATAAGCTCGAAAGGTCAATAATTTTGTCGATCAACAATTTTTACAACAATTTAACAAATTTTACCATAGTTGAATTGGGGCTTGAATTGCTAAGCGTTTCATGTAAATACTTGCCTCTTATTAGCTGAAAACTTCAACTTTGAGCCAAGTGAACACGTCCCCCCTGAAAATGAGTTAAAAAAGATGTTAATTTGTTCCAAAATTCCGCCTGGACATTTAAAAAAATCCATATGACAATACTATTTTTAAGAGAGTATTTAACAGGGGCGAATCTAAGATTTTCTCGAGGGAAGGCGGATTTTCAAAAAAATTTTAGAAAATTTTGTCGACATTTTTTTCAGGTCGAGCAAATTGATTTTTTGAGCTCCCCAAAAACATTAAAACTGTGTTTTGGTCAAATTTTCTGCACCGCAGGCAAAATTTTGAAAAAAATAACAGGCCAAGAAAGGCATTTTTAGGCACTTTTTTTGGAAAGTTTTGGCCAAAAAATCGCGCTTTTTCGGCGCGCTCCCTCCTCACAATTAGTATATATTGGCGCCAAAGGCGCCTCTAGAAAAATTTTAGGGTCCTTCGCCAAAAATAGGTATCTCAAAATAGTACAAAGGGGGCCCCTTTGGGTCGGCAGGGGTTCGAATCTCTGAGGGGAAGGCGCCCCCCCCCCCCTAAATCCGCCCTGGTATTTAATAGTTATTAAGAGAGTAGCTATTTATTAGTTGTTTAAAATTATTAAGAGATTATGATGACAAAACTATTTCGAGAGTATTTAATTTTAAGAGAGTAATAAAAAATATACCTGATAAGCTCTCTTCACAGCTGCAAGAACTGAAGATTCTAGAACTTTCTGAATTAAAAGAGGGCGACCCCACTGCTGGTGCTTCGAGAAGATAACTTGTAGTTCTGTCCAAAGACGCTTTCACTACTTCAATTCTCGCGTGAAATTCATCAATGTACTTATTTTGCAACTCCAACGCTAATTTTAACTCTTCCAAATTCATTTCTAATTCTTTTTCCGACTTGCAAGCGGTGACGTCACGCTGGATGGAATTTGCAAATCTCGACTGATCTCTAAGCTCTTGCAGTTTATCGCCGACGAGAACAAAATCAGTCATTGCTTCTTCGTAAAGAATTCGTAAATTTGTCAACTTCGTTTCGCCGATTGGCTCCGAATAGGCTTCAAGATCGGCTGTTACACGTTGTTTTTTGTACTCGGCAAAGGGGACAACTTCATGTTCGTTTTTGTTTCCGTGAGTTGATGTCCAGCATTTTCGACATATCAGCACTCCACAAGATCGACAGAAAATGTCATTTTGCAGACCGTGAGTTGGACAAGTTCCGTTTTGGATGTCGGCTTTTGAGTTCATTTCCGTATCGTTTTTGCCTTTCATTTCTCGGCATAGAAATTGGACAGAATACCTCAAACTCAAAAACTCGAAAACTTATCACAGTTTATGGGGAAGGGGGGATAGCGCAACATGTAGTTGAGACCTGGTTATAACCATTTCAACTACTTGTTTTAAATCTATACGCCAGATTCTTCATTAAACGCGGAGGTTCAAAAATATTATTATGAAAGTTTCAAAAATATTATTATGAAAACTCAAAAACTAGATTCAGAGTAAAAACAAATGGCCGAATTGGTCGCGTATTAAACCCGCTTGCTCCTGTTTTGTTTGCAGAAAAATGTGCAGCTGCATACATTATTAGGATAATGGAGAGTTTTTGGCATAAATGGATGTCAAAGAGTTGATCCTGGTAGTATCCCATCTCGAGGCAATGTTCGCCTATAATTTTTTTATCCACGGGGGAAAGGACCAACATACGAGCTGTACAGCTCATCACGGCGAACCGCTGTTGTGCCCCTGTGTAAGAACTGCATGCAATTTTTTTTTGGTTATTTTTCTGGGCTGGGTAGTGTTGCTTCACCCTCAAGCAACGAGCACGGATCATGGTGGGCCTCGAACATCCGACCTTTCAAAATTAGAGGCGGAGACGTAACCACTCCACCACCGCTCGCCCAAAAAAAACAATCAGATTTCTCAATTCCTTCGTTTTTTTTCGTATAAAAACATATACCACAAATAAACGTCAGAATAAACGCGTGATAAATCAATTTGATGCTCATTCATTCATGATAAAAATGACCCAAAATTTTTCAAATTTTTTCTTAATGGCGAGAAAAACGGGTTTAAAACTGTTGCTTTATAGTCTAATTTTGAGCGAGTAAAACAAGCGAGCAGATGTTATAGTAAGACAAGTTTTTGTTCTAGCCATTACTAGTTTTTGAATTTCCATGTAGCGCTTCCTTGGCACTTAAAATCTCTAGAAAAGTTTTAGAAAATTTATTATTAATCCGCCGCAAACAAACTGATCAAAAGTTTAAATAACTTGATCAAGAGTAAAATTTTAATTATTTTTTTTTGTAGAAAATTGTAGTCAATTATGAACAAGGATGGCCGGTTGCTGTGCAAGTTGCATAAATTGTTCATATCACATTCGTTAACAATTGAAAAAAAATTCTTCAATTTGTAGTCGTTTTGTGCCTTGTGTATTTAGATAACCTTACAAAAGCATAAAAAAACAGTGAGTTAGTCATAGTTGTCAGCATTCGCCTTCAAAAAATAATTTAAAACAAAAAACAGAAAAAAAAATTTTCTAATTTTTTGCTCAGCGCTTCCTTGCCATTACAGAGTTTCTTAAAAAAAATGATTTCTAAAGAAAACTTTAAAATCTAGTCATTTTACTCAAATCAAACTCTTTTAGCCTAAAATTTTAAATAAAATTAAATTTTTTTATAACAAATATTACTCGATAGCTGTACTCGTTCCTAGTTACTCAAAAATTGTACACTAGTTTTTCTCTAAACTGCGACCTCTGTTCAAAACTTTCAATTTATTGTTTCATTCACCTCTAAAAGTGCTTCAGTTTGATATTTCACTCCAGTTTGACCCATTCCGATTATTATCTGTGATACCTTATTTTGCGTGGAAAACAAAAAAAGGAAAAAACTACAATACACCCGAATTTAATAGTGTTCTATTCTTAGTTTTGGCTAGTTCCTCGCTTTAAACCACCCACCAAAAAACCCTCCCAGCTTGAAGACAAAAATGAAATTTTTTGAAAATACTAATATGATCGATGTTTTGTGTGATCGGCTGCTCTTGTTTTCCTCATTTTCCTTTAACACAAAAAAAACTTGGAAAAACGAGGAGGCGCAGAGAAAAAACGGTTCGCTTTGACCACAAATTAGAATTTTTTTGCACGCAGAAGGTAGAAGGAGTATTAGATTTTTTCGGCTTTCTTAATTCTGGGTTGAGAATTACTTTCTGAAACCTCACCTGGTAAAAAGAATCTTCAAATTGAGAAATTGTAAGAAACGCCGACTTGAACAGCTTAACACAATAATGCGACTTGTTTACGATGGTGAAAGAGTATTTGTAAATCAGTTGGAAAGTCGTATTTTCTGGTCAAACAAACAACCACATTTTGAACCACGAGGCCAAAATGTGTTATGGATATTCGCACTGCTTGGTGCATATAAAACTCTGGAATGCAAGCATAAGGTTCCGAACTGGGATCCACAAGCTGTTGCAGAGTTCACTAGCAATTCTTTGTAACGTAAAAATTGTCAGAAAATTAATTCTGCCGTAAAACCCGCAATGATCGAATATTCCAAGTTGTTCCCGGAGTCCGCATTTGCAGATGGATTCCGCATTTGTTAGCGGATTCCACAAATATTAACTAGATTCAGCAAAAAAAAAAGAGGATTCCGCAATTTTATATGCGGATTTCGCTAGCAAAATGCGGATCCCGCGACATCGCGTTCCGCTGGACATATGAAGAAATATTTGTTTATGGACGCCGCATTTTAACCATTTGTCATTTGTATAAGGGTTCCACAACGGCGAATTTTTTTTAAAAAATAGACTTGTTGCAGGTTTCACAAAAAGGGAACTTTCAGCCGGTTGCAAAATCCGCGTATAATTCACAAAACACGCAGTTTGGCCTTACAAAGTAGTAGCATTAGTTAAAACGCTCATTCTTTCACTCATTCCTAGTGGCAAATTATTCCGAAAAATGGAAAAATTCAGCTCAACTTTTCTCGACACTGAGACAATTTTTATGAGTATTGTTTGCAATGAATCCTGAATAAAAGAGTTTTTATATGATACCAAAAATGACCCCTTGCAAGCATTCCTTGATTGGGTGACTAAAATTGGGCGGGAAAAACTCACACTTGGCAATAGTTCCTGCCCGACACCTGGTAACACGGACGGAACAATTACTCGGGTTGGGCACCTCTTTGTAGTGCGCTAATTTTCGTGGGATCCGTGAACTCATCCTAAAGATTTATATGACTTATACTAATATGACCACCTCAAAATAATCTCTATCCATATAGTAGTGAGCGAGAGAGTTCAGCAACAAATGAGCATAGATGAATTGATAATGTCTAAAAGGCCACTGATTTTCAAAAAGCACTTAATCTCGATAAAAATCATAGTTTACACCTCACTAGTGTTGAAAACGTTAGTCAGTCAATATGTAAAGTCCAATGATAAGCAACTTGATCTCAGAAAGTTAACAATAAGAGTGATCCTATAGGTCAAACAAGGGTGACAGACAATACCAAGGGCAACACCTGCTAATAGATTAATTAGCACCACGTTTGACAATTGATTGACAGTTAGAAATGAAACTCTCACGAACTCTTTTAGCACTATACAACACTCCCCCTTCGATAATGAAATTTTTAAAACGATTGAAAAATACTGAATGATGGTAGTTGTACAATTAAAGAAAATTTACGAAAATTACTGATGAAACACTGACTGATGAATTTATGGTTGATTAACCAATTTTAAATGTAACAGCGGTTTTCAGCAACTAAATAAATCACCCAGCGGTGATAAAATACTTGAGTTTTTGGCCAATGTTGGTCAACCCTCTCCCTGGGCTCAAGCTAAGTTTCTTTTTAAGTTTTTAAGTTTTCAACTACTTTTCCTCCTCGCGATCCGGTTTGAGTATAATGCAGTCAATCATCACACCCCCCATCTTCGTGACGGCTGTCCTCTGTCACCCACTTCGTCTTGACGCCGTGTCCTCTTGACTATCCCCCTGGCTACTGTAGGAGACAAGTCGGACTTTCCGTTGCTTCTTTTTTTTATCCGCGGGTGCTGGTTTTTTCTGATCCCGTGGAATCTCTTCTGGTTCGCCTCCTATCGCTGGAATTGTGTCTTCATCGCTCCCCGTGTCTGGTAGTGTTTGGCTTGTTGTTTCTGATTTTCTCGTAAATTTCTGTGCTTTTTCTATTGTTGGTTGGTTTTGGGATGGTCCTGCTTGTGTTTCCTCTGGTTTGGGCTTTTTCACCGATATGATGGGTAGGTCATCTTCGCTTTCTTCCGAATCCTATTCGCTTGCTGCAAATCTTCGTCCCACTTGTTTTCGTGCGTTTTGCTTCCCAAAGTTAGTCTTTACCCTAGCTCGCTCTTTTACTTCTTGTGGGGTCGCTGCAGCCTTGTACAGCGACGATTTTTTCGTCGTCTTCTTCAATGCCACGTCCAATTTTCTAAGTACAACCCCATTGCTTAGCGTTAACGTATGCGCACTCTGCGATATTTTTTGAATGTATTTGTTTATACCTTTTCAAATTCTTATTCCCTGTCCTCTGATACAGCGTTTCAGAGGGTCCTGGTTGTTTGGGTTCTCCCGCCGCTTTGATGATAGATGGTTCATCATCCTGGTTTCCGGCCTGCTCGTCCGTTAGCTTTCGTGAATGGCTCCGGTGTTCAATGTCGTATGCCAGAGCAGATCTTAGCCCGCAGTTCGTCTCAGTAGGGTGCGGCATGTCCCTCACATTCGAATCAGCTTCATCTAAACAAGCATTCTTTGTTTTTAGTACGCGAGACCAATCCAGATTTTGAAGAGAGGGAGATTCCTTAGCACCGTGTTCACTTCTCGACCGTGTTGTGCCTCGAATGGCGAGATCTTAAGCGTTGCATTTTTCGAAAATCTCAGAGCACCAAGGGCTCGTTCGATCATTTTTTCCAAGGGTTCATGGTGTTTTTCCTGTACGAATGTCAGAATCGAATTCTTAAGGCTACCAATGGTGCGCTCCACACATCCGTTTGCCCGGTGGTCATTTACCGGTGATTTTATTATTTCAATGCCCTCCCCATTGCGGAATGCTTTCGCTTCGTTCGATTTAAAGCTAGTTCCCTGGTCCACGTGGATTTTCCTGGGTACAGCATGATTGGCTATATATGATTTTAGAAATTTTATATCTTATCTGACCGGTTTTTTCCACAGACTGCCACTAGTCACATATTAGTCTACTGCCACTAACACATATTTTTGAGACTCCTTTAAATAGTTAATATGACCCCAGAAATCAAGTTGAACCGCTTCGTTTGGTTCTTTTG